CCCCTGAAAGATTTTTGGAAACAAGGTTCTGACTGTCCTGGAACTTACTCTGGGTTTTAATGTTTTCAACCATAATAAATTGATTAATGAAATTTTTCACAAAGAAAGCGAGTACTCGTTTCCTATTTACAAACTCCACCTCTCAGATATTCCCAGTAACAGTGGCAAACTAGGAGGTTCCCCAAAATACCCAGCAATTTTAATTCAACTTGCCTTGCCTGACAAACAGTGGAAAATTGGGTTATTTTGGGTCATCTTTCTGGCCACTCCTCCTGTTCCAGGCATTCCTCTAGAATTAGGTTGCTCTGATTGACATTTTGGCTTCTTTCTTGCCTCTCCCTTGCCATTCCTCAGAGCAATGGCATGTGGTTGACATAGTCTTGTGTCTGGAAGACTTGCACCCTTGCACAGGAATGATATAGCAACGAAATAATGAAGTGAACACAAGGATTGTTGAGTCATGCTCTTGACTCTATGCAAACCCTGGGAGAATGATTTCAAGTTGAACAAAGGGAAATCAGTGATGGTTGAAAAAATATGCAATTTCTTTTCTTTTGAGACAGGATTTCTCTGTATTGCTTTGGAGCCTGTCCTGGAACTCGCTCTGTAGACCAGGCTGGCCTTGAACTCACAGAGATCAGCCTGCCCCTGTCTCCCGAGTGCTGGGATTACAGGCATGTGCCACCGCCGCCCTGGATGATTATTATTTTTATGCCTTTGCATCTATGTATAAAGGCGTGGGTAAGTGAGTCCACGAGAGCACAAATAAAACAATATCAAATATTTATTGGGGAACACTCACGAATAACAATAAGGTAGAGAGCCACCACAGTCTTCCATTCTACCCTGGGGTCAATGGAAGCTGAGATCACATATCGGACCACCACACAAGAGAGAGACCCCTCCTCTTCCTTATAAGAGATCTTGCACACAGAAGCCACACCCTAAGACCTGTCCCCTAAAACTATTGGCGGAATGAATTCCCACAATATATGTATTCATGGGATTAATTCCCAGAACCGAGATTTACTGGGTTTGGATTTATATGTACTGGTGATTTTATAGAAATGGGTAAACCCTCCCATTTTTAGGTTGATGATCCTTCTCAGTCCTTTCCAAGACAAAAGGTGGAAGGAATTAAAATATCCAACAGTAGATGGATGAATAAAGAAACTGTGGTATATACATGTAATGGAATGTTAATTAACCTTAATGGAAGGAAAATTTAATGCACACTACAACATGAATGACCCTAAAAGATGTTTTGTTCTGTGAGATAAGACAGTTAAAAGGCATAAACATGTTTGGCATAGTAGTGCCTACTTGCAACCTCAGCATTTGAGAGATGGGACTCAGTATCAGTTCAAAGTCATCCTTGATACAGAACGAGCCCGGGCTTGACAGGGCTTTATGAGACTGCCTTAAAAAGAGCCCTCTATTTCACACACGCGCGCGCGCGCGCGCGCGTGAATTTGATAGCTCTAGGAAAAATAATAGAATTCATAAAGAAAGTGGAATGATTAGCAAGGGCCGAGTAAAGACCGTAGTGGGGGAGTTAGTGCCCGTAGCTCACTCAAGGTTTGATTTTTAAAAGAAAATATATATTAAGATGACAGATTTCAAACATATGTTGTCACAACAAAACTGAGGCCCACGGTTCGTGATCTTTACAAGCAGGCCAAGGAATGCACATTTCGACACCGAAAGTGAACAAAACGACTTTCTATTTTAAGTTACCTGAGTGTCATTATTTGTTTTTACCACAGTGCTTCTTGACTAAGTATGAATTTTGGAATAAGTACTGTTAAAGCTTTGTTTTCCGCATATTCAAACTGTCGAGAGGTCTAAAAGAACCGCCATACGCCCAACGTGGGGCTCGAACCCACGACCCTGAGATTAAGAGTCTCATGCTCTACCGACTGAGCTAGCCGGGCGCCGCGATACCACATCCTTCATTTCTTCAGAGCTATGGTTATAGAAAAGTTAGAAGTTCCGAGTTGAACCGAGAATTTGATGGGGCTACAAAATTCGGACATTTTAAATTCAACTGTTGGTGTCTGACCATCTTCCCTATTTCTTTCCTTTTTATGCTTACGTTTCTCTACCAAGATCAGAGATTTGGAGGCGGGCGGGCGAGCGGGCGCACACTTACAGTCGAATTTTATCGGAAGTAGTACCAAGCTGGAAGACGTGAATATAGTGAAGCACGCCCCTACCAACGACCTTTTCTAAACCATGGGTCCACTATCTGGGGTTTCCGCAGCTGTTGGCTGCACGCTCAGTTTGTAAGTTTAGCATGAGAAAAAGAAAAAGCTAATAAGCAAAAAAGTAGCCAGTACCTGGAGATGCCGGGGATCGAACCCGGGGCCTCATACATGCAAAGCATGCGCTCTACCACTGAGCTACATCCCCGCTTGCTCTGGCTGCTTTCTCAGAACTCCTTTAGTGACTGCATAGTGTAAAGTTCCTAACCGCGAATTGAATTTTGCTGCCACAAAACCACAAATATTTGCAAAATCCGAGAGAGGACGACCCGCTGCGTGTTGTTCCAGAGTCTTCCTCTGACCCTTACTAAAGAAGCTGTTCTTCCGGAAAGCCCCTCTCTCCCCGCGAGGGTGGACAGATCCGGGACCTAAAACTGGGAAGAGGGTAGAAAACGGGAAAAAAGATACTCACATATCAGACATTATTACAAAAGTAAATATCTACCCGAAAAAGTTGGTTTTTTGTTTTAGATGTAAGATAGTGTAGTAAAACATAAAGGTTTTAAGCAAAATAATGAAGTTAATTGCTCTAGATGGGGAAAGTGCATATGAGAAAGGCAGGTTTTCAAATGATCGATCCCCCCTCCCCCACCCCCACCCCCCACCCCCGCTTAATTTTATGTTTACATTTGTGTTTGATGGCATGTAGGCTTCGCGGGTAAGGTAACATTTAAGAGGGTGGGTAGTACAGATTTCTGCAGGAAGACAGATCAGCAGTGCGAGCCCAGTAGCTGGTCCGCAGGGATTCGATGGTGATGTAGTTGTTTGCAAGTCAAATATAAACTAATCAAACCACTTCGGCATGGCGTTCCCATGAGTCGGTTGCCCTGTAGTCCACCGAAAAGGTCTTTGCTGCATTTGATTGTATGCTGTATGCATGAGGGGTTTGAATAGAAAAAGTGATCAATTAAAAAAAAAAAAATGCAAAAGTATCAGTGAGCTAGTTACTTGGGGGCTACAGTCCACAGAAATGTCCCTCCCCCCTTTTGAATCTGGGTCTCACATAACCCAAGCTGACCTTCAGGTGACCATGTAAGCAGAGATGACCTTGATCCTCTGCCCTTTAATGCTGTGATTACAGGTGTGCCACCAGGCCCAACAAATAACACATCCCTGAAGGGCCTTGAGACCTTCACCCTGGACTCTTGGTAAGTGTACTGGCCCTGCTCACCACCTGCAGTTCTGTTCCCAAAGGTCCCGCGACACACTTGTTTCATCAACTGACTTAAAGTTCCTTACCTTAAAAATAATTTTAGTTGAATTTGCAGAAAAATTAAAACGCTCCATGACGGAGGAGGAGGAGAATCAAGCAAAAGCCATTACACAGGAGTCTTTCCGACATGTAGAGCTATCAAGAAGGCCCACAGGGCTGCACTGTGGTCAACACAGTAAGTCATAGGAGGTGAGGACAGGGGAACATGAGCATAGGAGCTGGACACAAAGGGAAGGTGGGAAGGTTATTGTGAATACTTTAATTTTTACTAAGACTTAGCAGCCACTGGTGGGATTTGGGCAGAGGGCTCTGATTTTTACTGTGGAGACATCAGCGCTAAAAGCGTTCTCTAAAGAAAAAAAAAAAAAAGTGGAAGTGTCGTGGATTAGTCACCAGAGAAGTTTTTGTTAGCCAGCAACTATATTGGATGTTCGAGATCCTAGTGTAGCACAGAGCCTTTCTCAGGTTGAGCTTTTAAACACACACACTCACTCACACACACACACACACACACACACACACACACACACACAAACATGTTCTGGGTTGACATATACTTTAATTAACAAGAATGGTTAGTCAGAAGCAGAACTACAGAAGCTAAAAAGCAAGGTTAGTACGTACTGAGACTTTCCCAGTACTATGTGGGCTTTGATGGATTAGGCCTTTGTTTGAGTTTTGGCAGCTGTTACTGTCTACATGTTGAGTTTTACAGCCGGAATGGTCCTTCCATCATGGAGTCACTTGTGCTAAGGTGGGGGGGGGGGGAGCTGTTATAGAAGAGATCACAGAGTGTTGAGACTGAGACCTAGAGACCGAGCCAGGACAGGGAATGGAGTGGAAAGCCATAGCAACTAAGAAGAAAATAGAAGGCCCTAGACTGGAGAGAAGGAGGAATATAGTGTCTTGAATGTTTGAGGAGAAAATGCTATCCGGAAGGACAGATACATACATCATAGAGCAGGAGAGGTGAGGTCTGCACTTTTTGATTAGAATTGTATGAGTGGACGGTGACATTGACAAGAAAGGTTTTGAGAGGGGTGGAGGAGGAAAATTGACCCTAGTGGCCTCCAGGGAGAAACAAGAGATAGGGAAGCAACTTCAAAAAGGGTCTGCAGAACCCAGCGGAGAGACAGAGAGGCTTTGGGGTGGGGTGGATTAATACTAAGTGGAATGAGAAAAGGTGGTTGTATTACTTGTTCAAAATTAAAGGGGGAGGAGAGTTTAAGAGATGTAGTTGCAAAAGTGGACAAAAGGCCGTGCTTGGGGTGAGGAGGTACAGCCAAATTCTGGACCCTAAGTTTAGCTCAGCGCAGTGCCAGGGTGAGTCGGTAATGCGGGGAACCAGACACCTTGCCCGGGGAGCCAGGCCTTTGCCCCTGCAATGTAGGGTCAGCCTAGGTCGCCAACTGGGAGTGGAGCCCAGCTGAGCTTGTTCGCTCACCTGTCCCGGATAGTTTCCTAGTGCTGACTGGGTCATACTGGGGTCTAAAGAAGCAAGGGGGGGAGGGGAGTCGATAGAAGGGAGGTCCCTGGCTGGAGTGGTGGCTATAGGAGCCCAGAGAAAGGGCACCATCTGCTTTCACTCCCAGCTGGGTGCACCCTCAGCTCATGTCTCAACTTGCCGGGTGCCGGCCCCGCCCTTCCTCACCCAGTGGGTACTCCGGAGTCCAGCCCAGCTTGGAGCGTACTGTAGCGTCCAGGGACCTCCCCAGCACCACAGGACTTGGATGTTCCAAGGACACGGATGGCGACAGTGGGGCCGCGGACCGGGCCCAATGCAGGGGCCGAAGCGCTGGCTCTGGCCGCAGAGCTCCAAGGAGAGGCGACCTGCTCTATCTGCCTAGAGTTTTTCCGGGAACCCGTGTCGGTCGAGTGCGGCCACAGCTTCTGCCGCGCCTGCATCACGCGCTGCTGGGAGCGTCCCGGAGTGGGGACCGGCACGGCGACCCGCACGCTGCCCTGCCCACTGCCTTGCCCTCAGTGCCGGGAACCCGCGCGCCCCAGCCAGCTGCGACCCAACCGACAGCTGGCCGCGGTGGCCTCTCTACTTCGGCGCTTCAGCCTGCCCCCGGCCGTCGTCGGAGAGCGCGGGACCCCTGCGGTGGCAGCCGGGGCGGCGGCTGCTCGGTGTTCGCAGCACGGAGAGCTGCTGAAGCTCTACTGCCAAGATGACGGACGTGCCATCTGCGTTGTGTGCGACCGCGCCCGAGAGCATCGTGCGCACGCCGTGCTGCCACTGGAGGAGGCGGTGCAGGAGGCCAAGGTGGGTGCAGAATGTCCTGGACCCTTGGCTGGTCTCCAGCCTCCTGGCTCTCCTGGCAAACCACGGGCAGGAGGCCTACAGCGGAGCTCACGTCTCCTTTCTCACATTTTATACTGCGGATCCCTTCCCTGGTCCCTCACAGCCGGGTGCCTGGAGATGGCCCCAAGGTCTTGAAGATTTTCTTGTCTGTTACAAACAGGCAAGAGTTGTTGTAACTCTGCCCAGGAGAAAGTCTCTGTTTGCATGCCCACACATTCCCTGCCTTCACTTAACTCCTTTTCGAGGGCGTAACTCTACGCAAAGTACCCGGTTCTTAGAGGGCCATAACCTGGCTTCCTGGTGTATGTGTTCTGCCTCATGAGGTCTGAGCTGTGCGAAGCCCATGGGTTCTGGGCACCTCCCCTTTTTCTGTCCCTTGCTGGGCAGCCGCACTAGAGGTGTATGCACCCCCTGGTCTTTGCTGCCCCGCCCCTCTCCAGCCCCCTATATGTATGCTTTCTGTTGCTTGAGAGGAGAGCGGGAGACAAGGTGACTGAACCAATATGGGAATCTTAGGTTTCAGCGCAGACCATGTGGCTGATGTCCTTGGGGAAGTGAGATTCCTGGGCCGTTGGAGGGCTCCTGAATTTGCTCTGCACTGACAAGCTTAATCTGCACAGGCTATGTTCACCCCACAGCCAGAGATGACATATATCTGATCTTGTGCTCCCAGATCAGAGCCTTGGCTTCCTCCCAGATGGTTCTAGGATGGCACATGAGAGGGTTTCCAGAATTATCTTCCCACAGAATTTCCCTTCCTATCACAGGAGCTGCTGGATTCCAGGCTGAGGGCCTTGAAGAAAGATCTGGAAGAGTATGAAGTGTTCCGGTCTACAGAGGAGAGGGAAAGCAAGGAGCTTCTGGTGAGTTCAAGTGTGGGAGGTATAGGGTTGTGAATGCCCAGAGGAGTGTGCAGTGTGTGTGTGTGTGTGTGTGTGTGTGTGTGTGTGTGTGTGTGTGTGAACAGTAGGGTGGATTTCAGAAAGGTAATATGGTTATACATCATGAAGGTTGACCATATAATTTATAATACAATCCAGAGCTTGTGAAAGAGACCTTTCAAATAATTTTTAGGATGCACAGTCATTCATAACCAGACAATTAGGACCTGTAGCAGCATCTTGTAACTGAATGTATTAATATTTCTTCACAGGAAATGTCATATTAAGTGGAAACACAAATACAATAAGGAGACACATATTCTGCCAAGGAAAGAACTAGCTCCGTAGACCAGGCTGGCCTCAAATTCAGACAGCCACTTTCCTCTGCCTTCTGAGTGCTGGGATTAAAGGCGTGTTGTACCAAAGCTTTGATTTAAGAATTAGAGGTTAAGGGAGAAGATGGTGTGAAGGGGTCAGAGCTCCTCCTGGCTATGGCAGAGGATAGGAGGTTTGGGGGTACTGGTTCTATGTAGCCTCAACTTGAAAAGAAAGTAAAATGGGACTCATTTTGGTTACTATGGTCAAACATGAGTCACTGTCATTTTCTACCTCACAAATTCAGCCCCTAGCTCAATAAATTGTGCTGAAAGAATGGAAGGGACCATTAGGGCTTTTTAGGACTAAGTCATTTGTTCATGAAGCTGGGAATAGAGGGGGAGGCCTGGAGGACCCTCTTGGGGTTTAAAAATTAACTATTTATATTGTGGGAATGCATGTGCCTCTCTCTGCATGAGGAAGTATCGGTTCCTGCCCTCCACCTTGAGGTGAATTCTAGGGATTGAACAGATCACCAGGTTTATGAGCCAAGTGTCTTTTACCTGCTGAGACAGTTCACTAGCTCAAACTTCTTTAGGTTAGGAAGGGAAAGACTATGGAGTTCAGATACTCAGGCTCCTCTCTGAGCTCTTTGTTGTTTTGCTTTGAGAGAGGGTCTCTCTCTATAGTCCTGGCTGTCCTGGAACTTGCTAAGTAGGCTAACCTCGAACCTACAGAGACCCACCACCTTCTCCCTCCCTAGTGCTAGGATTGAATTTGTGTTTCCACCATGCCTGGCCCTCTCTTTACTCTTAACTGCTTTTACATCTTCATCCATCAGACCTCCCAGACTTTCACATTGGATCGTTTACTTCCCTTCCCAAAGCAAAGTTCACTCATCCAGGCCTTTATTCTACCTCTACTGGAGAAAGGAGCAAGAGCCTGGCTCTTCAACCTGTGGTTTACTTCTACCACTAAGAGAGCATTCTCTATGGCCTGGGCAACTTCCCAGTCTCTGACCCATCTCCCCAGAATATGATTTAGCATCCCCACCTCTGCCCTTTCCCAAACCCTCCTCCCTACCTATCCAAACCACAGCCTTTCCCAGCCAAGTATGTGCTCTACCACTGGGCCACATGCCCCTCGTTCTTCTTGCCATACAGCCATAGGTGAACCTTCCTCTGCTGTTCCACTAAACAGGGATTTTATAATTGTGCATATTTTGTGGGCTGGAAGTCAGGGTAGGAAGAGGAGAATACTTTCATCTGAAAAATGCCCATACCCCATCCAGTAATATCTGGGGGTGTTTTAGTTTGTCAGTTGTTGTTTGTTATTTACCCTGTATACATTTTGCCTCTGGGCGTTTACCTTTCTCTTCTGTAAATTTTACTTTTACTCTGTGGCTGGCTGTGTAGCTGGGTGGCTGGGTAGCTGGCCCCTGAAGTCCTCCTCCTTCCTTTCTTGTTCCTTGATCTTACCTCGTCCACATTTCTCCTTATATTTATTCTCTCTGCCTGCCAGCCCCACCTATCCTTTCTCCTACATAGACATTGGCCATTCAGGTCTTTATCAGACCATCAGGTGTTTTAGACAGGCAAAGTAACACAGCTTCACAGAGTTAAATAAATGCAACATAAAAAGAATGTAACACATCTTTGTATCATTAAAACAAATGTTCCACAGCATACCAAATGTAACACATTTTCAAATAATATTTCACAACAGTCGGCACTGGGAGTGTCACTGGCACTTAGCGATAGAAGTCTTAGGTATTAAATATTCCATAATACACAGGGATGTTCCCACAGCCAGAAATTATCTGGCCCTAAATGTCAATAACAGCAAGATTTGGACAGCTCTGTTTACAGTTTTCTTGGTCTGTTAATCTGCTTTCTGCTGTTGTCACACAATATCATGGACTCTGTGTGTGTGTGTGATTAAGAATAGAGTGTGCAATGATAATAGAGTGTAGCTTTTGGTAGGCACTGCCAAGGTATGCCACTAATCAAACACACCATGTGCAATGGACTTAGTGCAAGAGGTTTATTGGGAGAAAGGGGAGGGGAGCAGGAGAATGTAAGAGTGAAAAGTCATGTCTGAGTGGGGACAAGAAGGGGCAAGAAAGACAAGAGACAAGAGAGTGAGTTGTGCTCTGGCAGGCACACTTAAGGGGTGCAAGGTAGACAGGCACCGGCAACAGGTGATGGTGATGACGTATTGCTTCGGTGGCAGAGGCAGGCTGTTGCTGTGGCATAAACTAACAGAGTGCAATCGGGTATGATGGCTCACACCCTCAATTCTAGCACTTGGGGGGGGGAGCAGAAATAGATGGTTATCTGTGAGGTTGAAGCCAGCCTGATCTTCATAATGAATTCCAGGACAGCCAGGGCTACATAACAACAACAATGAAAGTTTAGTGTACAGTTCTGGAGGCTGGGAAGTCTAAAAGAATGGTGTCAGTAGCTGCTCTGCACTCCATGAGGGCTTTCTTACTGAACCATAACAAGATGGAGGGCAGCCCATGGCAAGACAGAGGGAGCATGTTCTCAGGTTCTTCCCTTCCTCCTTACCTTACCCTTCTCCAGTTTTTAGAAGTGGTGTCTCATTATGTAGCCCAGGTTGGCCTGGACCTTGCTATGTAGCCCAGGTTGGCCTTGTACTGACAGAGCTTCATTCTCTTGAGTGCTACAATAATAGACATTCACCACCAACACAGGCACAGAGAGCTATTTTGCACACTTTTGCTTGGGTTGTTCCCTTGGGAGTCAATGTCATAGAGTTAATGGGAGTACAGACTTAAGAGTCAGACTATGCTGCCTTAGAATCTTAGCTTAGCAATTTCTAGGATGGGTCTCCTTATCCTTAAATGGAATAAGAAGTGTGCTGACCTCTTTGGGTCAGGGTGGATGAATTCAAGTGCTCCTCCCTGATGCTACCGTTCAATGTCTGATCATGGAAGTAAGGCAGGTGTACTGTGGGAAGCCTTGGGAGCCATGATCTGAGCGCAGGGCTCCAGACTTCACTCTTTCATAGCCGCCTCTTCTACTCTTCTCTCCCTTCTTCTGTAATTGTCTGGGAGAGGACCTTTCATAATTGAGCTTGTCTTGTGGGAACAGGATACTTACTTGTTGATAGGTATTAGAATCCTTGTTTACTAGGATTTTGCTACACAAATGTGTTTGTGTAAAGAAAAAAATTCAAGGAGTTCATCTACAAACCTGAAACATCCTAAATCTGATAATGGAAAGAATGGTAAGCTTGTACAGAGCTTGTACTCTGTGCCCAGTGGGTGCTCTGTTACCTCTGCTAACAGACATTTTCTTCTTTTCTCCCTATACCTCCAGAGTTCTGCATTTTGACCTTGCATTTCCATCAGAATTGAAGCCACAATAGTGCTTTAAAAAATAGGGTGGAGTAGCAGGGTGGATTATGGTGGTGGGGTAGCTTTAATCCCAGCAATTGGGATGTAGAGGCAGGCAGAGATCTCTGTGCGTTCAAGGTCCAGCCTGGTCTACATAGAAAGTGCCAGGTAGGCCAGGACTACATGGTGAGACCCTATGTCTAAAATATAAGATGAGGGTAATTAAATGAGTATATGGAGGAAGAAAAAGCAACCTTTGATTTAATCCTCATGTTAGAAGCTGCAGCTTGTGGTAACTGGGGAGTTCGAAGATGCCCTAGGACATATGCTAGAGCCTATGTCCTAAGAAGAAACACCAGAGGACATCTGTGGCTGAGGAGAGCGGAGCATGTGTTCCAGCTCTGGCTTGCAGAGTCAGGCATTTTAATTAAGGGTGTGCACAGTATGTACGTGCGTTGCCTGTTTCCCCAGTGAGGGGAAGCAACCCTGCCCGGAGGATGCTTCCTCAAAGCTCCTGTCTTAATGTTATTTATACTCAAGTCCCTTCTTCTCTAAGTCGAGTGCCTCTCCTCTTCCCGAGGCAGAAGCAGATGGCAGCAGAGAAAGAGAAGGTGGGGGCAGAGTTCCAGGCACTGCGAGCCTTTCTGGTGGAGCAGGAGGGCCGGCTCCTAGGCCGGCTGGAGGTGCTGTCCCGGGAAGTGACCCAGAAGCAGAATGAGAACCTGGCCCAGCTCGAGGGTGAGATCACTCAGTTGTCCAAACTCAGCAGCCAGATCCAGGAGACAGTTCAGAAGCCGGACCTAGACTTCCTCCAGGTGAGACTGACTCCGTCACAGCCTTAAGGCCTTTGCCCAAGGCATTAGGAGAGGCTGCTGGAGAACAGTCAGGAGGAAGGGGATTGGAGAAAAGGGCATTGACACTCCTGGGATTGTAAGGCTAGAAGGGATGTGATAAAACTCCCATGGTTGCTGGTATGATGGCCCACGCCTTTAGTACCAGCACTCGGGAAACGGGGGCAGGTGGATCTCTGTGAGTTTGAGGCCAGCCTGGTCTACTGAGTGAGTTCCAGGACAGCCAAGGCTATACAGAGAAACCCTGTCTCTAAAAGCAAAAATAGCAAGAACAACAACAAAAAAGTTCATGGTTACTAGACCTTAAAATTTATTTTACATTTATTCTGTATACACACACTTGAGACCAGTCTCAGAAAACAACTCGTATTTTTGCTACCTATAATTCACTCTCCTATTTCATGAAAAAAAAAAAGTTGGGGCTGGAGAGATGACTCAGCAGTAACAGCACTGGCTATTTGAGTCCCAGTACCCAAATGGTGACTCATCCATCACCTGTAACTCTAGTTTTAGGGGATCTGGCGCCCTCTTCTGGCCTCCAGGCACAGGCAGTGCACAGACATACTTGCAGGTAAAACACTCACGCACATAAACACTTCTTTTAAATTAAATAATTAACTAAAAACAGTCACCAGGCCAGGCATAGTAGCACACACTTTTAATTCCAGCATTCAGGAGCCACAGACAGGCAGATCTCTGTGAGTTCGAGGCCAGCCTGGTCTACAGAGCTAGTTCCAGGACAGGCTTTAAAGCAAAACCCTGTCTTGAAAAATCAAATCAAACCAAACCAAACCAAAACAAAAAAACCCCAAAACAAAGAAACAGTCACCAGGCCATGCATAGTAGTAGCACACATTTAACTCCTGCACTCAGGAGGCAGAGGCAGGCATATCTCTGTGAGTTCGAGGCAAGCCTGGTATACACAGTGGGTTCCAAGACAGCCAGAGCTATACAGTCAAACCCTGTCTGGGGATGGGGGATGATCACACACACACACACACACACACACACACACACACACAATACCCCGTGGGTGGTAACCATGCTAGTGGTAACCATAGCTTTGCATATCCATGGCCAGAGTTTAAGGGTGTTATAGCTGACGTAACATCAGCTAGAAACAAGTTATCACCTATGGTTAGTGGGGGCATGGTTTATTTTCTGTGAGTCAGGTAAGGGGCAAGTCATGTTTTCTCAATGGTGAAGGGAGGTTATATAATGATGATTTCCTCTTCCCTCTTTTCTTCCAGGAATTCAAAAGCACACTAAACAAGTGAGTGAACCTAACCATTTCAAGGTCTTTCCAAGCTGGTTTGCCCTGCCATCAAGCTTTATCATTTTATCCCAACATCATCTCTCATCTCTTGACCCCCCAACTCCTACTTCCTTACATGGGTACCTTATGAGGCAAAGGCCCACCTACCTGGCTGTGGGAATTCCTGCATGAAGTTGGCTTTCCATTTCCTCTTATAGAAAGCAGCTGAGAAGACAGAGAGAAGGGATAGGGAGAGCGAGATGGAGGGAGGGAGGAAGGAAAAGAGAGAGTAAGATAGTCAGTTTGGTGATATTCTCTTCAAAGGCAATTCTCCAATCATGGAAGTCCTTCCCTCAGCCCCGCCTCCTAAAAGTTGTGTTACCTCTGGATAGTGCATAAGTCGACAATCCAGCCTTTAACACATAGGTCTTTAGGAGCACATGTATCTAAACTATGGCACCACTGTAATTGTCACAGGGCAGTGGAGTGGGATGGAACTCTTGGGATGTCCTCAGGGGCCTTGTCTTGCAGGTGCAGCAGTGTGCCTTGCTCCAAGCCAACCACGGTCTCATCTGAGATGAAGAATAAAGTGTGGAATGTTTCCCTCAAGAGTTTCGTCTTAAAAGGGTTACTGAAGAAGTTTAGAGGTATGTGGCCTGGGTGTGGGCTGGACTGTGCAGGGTTGGGTGGAGGGGGTGTGCTCCTGGTAGGCACATGGGTCCTAAAGGTATGCCGTTATTGAACTGAAAAGAGAGAACAGGAGGTGAGGTGTACCAAAGCCAGATTGTTTTGGGAAGGCACTGATGACAATGTTGTCTGGGTTTCACCCCAGGGCATCCTGCTTCCTATGGGGACAGACAGATTAGAAGAGTACTGTGGGTAGGAAGAAGGGGAGATGTCGTTAGTTCAGACCAGTTCTAGACAATGGAGGGATAAAGGGAAGTGGTGGAGTTAGGATGTTTGCGGGTCCCTCCTCCCTGTATCCCCATCTTGGCTCTGTACTTGCAACTCTTGGCTTCTAGAGTGTCTGGAGTTACGTGGGCTCTGAGTGTGTGGGAAGAGGAGGTTTCCTGGACAGGCAGTCTCCCAGACCGTTCACATCTGTTCTGCTTTGTTTCTCTGCAGAGGATCTCCAGGGAGAGCTGGAGAAAGAGGAGAAAGGTATGGATGATTGTTGGACTGTGAGTATAAGGCTGGCCAGGTAGTGAACCTGCTCCCTGCCAGAGGCTCTCTCTGGGCTTTACAAATGGTTGACCCTGTCTGCCCATCCACCTCAGTGACTATCACTCTGCCCCCATCCTAATCCTTGTTTGACATCTTTGAATCCTCAGGTGGCCCACTGGTCCATAAGCCACAAGTGGTCGGGATGGGGAATGATTTGGCCTCAGGTTGCTTGGGGCAGATAAGTCCTCTGAAGATCTTGGGGTTTGTGTGTGGGATTGGGGGATAGTGGAAACAAAGAGAGACTGCAGAGATCTGGGGTGGGGGCAGGGTGGGGTGACCCAACACTGAAGGGAAGGAAGCAAGTGCACAGAGTTTACCTGGGTAGGATCCTGTAATGGCCCCTTTTACTCAGTACACCCTCAATATGCCCTCAGCCCTCAGTGGCCCTCAAAGCCTCAGTGGATCTAACCTCTAACCTCATTGCAAATCAGAACCCTGACATACACTGAGAGCTTTACATTGTGATCTGCAGGCAAAAGACAGGCAGAGAGAGAGAGAGAGAGAGAGAGAGAGAGAGAGAGAGAGAGAGAGAGAGAGAGGAGGACTCTGGCCCTGGCTAAAGCTACACATTTCCTCTAAGAAGGCCATACCTCCTAATCCTTCCTAAATAGCTTCACTGCCTGGTGACTAAGCATTCAAAATATGAGCCCATGGGAGCTATCCTCATTCAAATCACCTCAAAGGGCCTGGAACAAGTCCTATAACAGTGTTTACAACTTGGTGCATTTGGTAACTTTTTAATCTGAATGTTTTCAAACATATTCCAAAACTGAGAGAAGAGCAAACTGCATGCCACACATGCTCACATCATCTATCTTCAGTTGCCAATTGATGAAAATTTTTTTCACAGACATTGTGTCCAGTTTTTAGTTAGTTTTGTTTCTTGTTTGTTTTTTGAAAACAGGGTTTCTCTGTGTAGGCCTGACTGTCCTGGAACTAGTTCTGTATTCCAGGCTGGCCTTGAACTCACAGAGATCCACCTGCCTCTGCTTCCTGAGTGGTTGGATTAAAGGTGTGTGCCACCACCCACCGGCATGTTAAGTTTTATAATAAAACAAAGATACTGTATATGTGAGAGTATGTTACCTCCAAAGAGACAGACTTTTAAAGATAAGGTCTCATTGCATAGTCCTGCCTCTCTTAAAAACAGAGCCATCACACCTAGAGAAAGTGATGATTCTTTCTTGTTTCTAATTTTCAAATTTGCCCATTTGTCTTTGTTTTGAGACAAGGCTCTTGTAACTCTGTCTGGCCTCAGGCTGGCTATATAACTGAAGATGACCTTGTTCCGCCTCCACCTTCCATGCTCAGGCTTTCTCTACCATCCCGGCTCTACAATTATCTTTGAAATCAGATTTGATGACCTGCTCACATTGAGATCCAAATCAGTCCTACTGTATTTCTTAGATTTTATGAGTTTATTAAAATTTTAATACATGTTTATTAAGTTGAAGAAAAAGAAAGGGAAGAAAGAAAAAGGGAAAGTTAAATAGCCACTGTGAAGGGAGGAGGGTTGATAGGTACTGGCTTTCCCTCAAGGGAAGAGTATGCCCTTATAGTGCAGAGACTGTGAAAGTAACGCTTTGAAGACATCTTTCTTTATCCTCAGTGGAACTCACTTTGGACCCAGATACAGCCAACTCCCGCCTCATCTTGTCCCTGGATCTAAAGAGTGTGCGCCTAGGACAGCGTGCCCAGGACTTGCCTAACCATCCCCGCCGCTTTGATACCAACACCCGCGTTTTGGCATCCTGTGGTTTCTCCTCTGGGCGACATCACTGGGAGGTGGAAGTGGGCTCCAAGGACGGCTGGGCCTTCGGTGTGGCCCGAGAGAGCGTGCGTCGCAAGGGCCTCACGCCCTTTACCCCTGAGGAGGGTGTCTGGGCAATGCAACTCAACAATGGGCAATACTGGGCTGTGACCAGCCCTGAGAGGACGCCCCTCAACTGTGGGCATCTGTCGCGGGTGAGGGTGGCTCTGGACCTGGAGGTGGGGGCGGTGTCCTTCTATGCAGTGGAGGACATGCGCCACCTCTACACCTTCCGTGTCAACTTTCAGGAGCGAGTGTTCCCCCTTTTCTCTGTTTGCTCCTCTGGTACCTACTTGCGAATCTGGCCTTGAAGAGCTGTCCTAGGAGGGGACAGGGCAGCCTGCAGGGAGCTCTCCTCCATAAGACAGAGGACCTTCCTTTCCCCATACCCCTAACCCAGGTTGCCCTAGCGGGCTGTCACAACCAGAGGCACTGAAGATTGACTGGGAAAAGAGACGCTGTGGGGTAACTCACTGCACAAAGAAGACATGCTTTGGACCCTTGGAGCCTTCTCCCTTCCTGTATTGTTCCTGCACGTTGTATTTGAACTATGAAGAAGTGGACACCCACAAAGACAAAAAGCCCAGCTCTTAACAACGGTGCTTCAAACCACAAAAGCTTGATTTAGAAGGGTCCTTGTGCACAGAGAACAATGTCGAAGGCTGATACCCTTGCAAAGGGTGTACTTTGACCCTCAACCGGTCAGGTTATTACTTTATATTTGTGGCAGCTGCAGGCTCTGCCTGGAGAGGTCAATGAGTCCTCCGAAATCAGCTGGCCAGGCTGGGTTGTTTATTTAGGGAGTAACATTGTAGCTCCAGGCTCAGAAGCCAGTCTGACTAGATCTGTAAGGAAACTCTTGACCTATACACAAGGCCTGGACAACATTGTACACATATACCTGCATTGCTGTTCTCCAGCACCCCCTAGCCTGATATGATGATTATCTGAGACTGGCAACGTGTGTGGTCACATTTTCCATCAGTGTATAGTCTCCTTTGGATAAGGAGATTAAAAGGTTTTGGAATTATGAAACACAAGTTGATATTTGGGTTGATATTTGGGACTTTACAGATGCAACTAACTAGCACCAGTTTGGAGATGCACACAGCATAAACACAGCCCTGACAAACTCTTTCTGGAATTTAGTGACTCTATGCAAACAGCAGAGCACCCTGGTGGCGGGGATTGCTGAGCCTCCACTATGGATACAAAGCTGGGCTTCTGGAAGGGCAGCAGTGTGCTTGCTGCTCCCTTCGGAAGGGGCAGAGTGGATGGAAATACAGATTTTGAGCACAATTCTGGGGGTGGATGGATTCATTCTTGACATCCTGGTTTGACTGCTGGAGGATATGTCTGAGCAATGGTTTCTGTTAGAAAGATCCCAAGTGTCATGTATTTGAGGTGTGTGAGCTTGTGTGCTTGTATCTCAGATATGGGATGAGGGGTATGAGTGTTTCAGAGAGGGCACTTTTGAGCAGCTGTGTAGGGGTTAGCTGTTGCGAACAGATATCCACACAAAAACAAAGCTTCCCGTTTACTGTGAAATTATGAGGAGCAGAGTTTGGATCCCAGCACCCACATAAATACCCAGGTCTCCAGCTTCAACGGATATTATGATGCCCTCTCTTGGCCTCTGCATACACACCCCAGAGCCAGTGCATACACATGTGTATATACATACACACAGATAACATACACATAAACACACATATACATGTGAATTCACTTCAAAGGGAACAAGAAATAGTTCATTCTGGTGTGGTGATGTGACAGCCAGCCCTAACCTGATGGCACTGAATTGTTGCCTGCTATACCCCAGTCAACAAGTCACCCTTCCCCCAGAGTGCTCAGACCTGTGTCATAATTTACATATCACTCTCCTGTAATGGCTTAAAAAAACCAATATGGTATCAGGCACCCCTTAAGGGCCATTGACCTTTGCTCTGGAATTCCTGTGAGATTCTGGTGGCCTGCAGGTGAGATAAGAATAGGACAATGGTGTTCTGGCTTTCTGCTTTTATAAACTCCATGTCTGTGGCATGGGATGAAATGATCTTTTCATTGCTATACAATGGGAAAGAGAAACAACTGAAGGGGTAAAGTGATTCCCTGCCCAGCTGTGGATCCCATAGAAATTTTAATGTACATTTTGAAAATAATCTTTACAAACCATTCCTTTAGTTCTCTACTGCACGGCATTTTGCTTGGCTCTATGGCTCCTGTCCTTCTGCTAGCAGTGAGAACAAACTCATTTAGTCTAAACTGAGTTTAAGTCTTTGGTCTTTCCCAGTGGATTGGAACAACATAACACTGGAGTCAAGTATGAGTGATTATGTGGTAGAGGCAGATTTAGATAGCTCTAAATACTGTGTTTCATGACTTTTAATTTTAGATGAGGTCTTGTCTCACTCTGCTTCCTTGGCTAGCCTGGAACTCTCTATGTAGACTAGACTGGCCTTGGACTCACAGAGATCCTCCTGCCTCTGCAGCTGTGGGATTAAAAGTATGTGCCAACTATACTCAGCTTGTATGGCTTTTTGATGATCACAATTTTCTTTGCATCATTTAATAATTGTGTTTAGAATGACAAAATAATTCATGTCACAGGAAGTGGGATGTTGGGTATCCTGTGTACATGTGAGGTCAGGACTAGGAATTGTGGGTAGCTACTGTCTATATGTATACACGGTTTTGTCTGTCAGAGAATGGTATTTGTAGCATAATTACAGATGTCTGTATCATGTCTGTAATGTGACAACAGTTACTGTGACAATTATGTGGCTACACGGCAACTTGGTGACTTGACTGCACAAGCTCATGTGAGACTGCATGAGAGTCTCCTTCTCATCTTTTGGGCATCATAAGATCTCTGCCATTATTGGTTCTCTGAGAATAACTGGCCCTAAAACATCCTTCCTACCCCGCCCATTAGTCCTAGACTCCAGAAAGCCAGGACGCTATATCTCATCTTCACAGAGTTCTCAGCACTCAAATGAAGGGCACCCAGGGGCTGCCTCTGGCCTGTACAACCAGTGTCCCAAGTCACATGGTTTTAGAGCCAGGGCAGGCTAGCCACCAGGCCAAGGGGCTATGGACTATAGCCACTGCTTTCAATTTTCTTTGATTATGACTCCTGTCCCTCCTCCCCTAGACCCTCATCTTCTCTGTCCTCCACTCAGGGGGCCCTTAGGGGCTCTGACAAACTAGTTCATTGCTGGCTCTAAGATGTACCTTGAGGGTTGGTTGTCCTTTTTAAATTTGCATGTAAGTATGGCGGGCAGGGGACTCCAGGACTCACCTGTGTTCTCCACTCAGCACCTCGGAACCCCGAGCCTGTGATTCCCCTCACTGCTGTCACTACCCAGCCCATCTCAGGTACCACCTAACTTATCTGACTTTGGAGTGTGCAGGACAGTTTCATCGGCGCCTCCCCCATCCCTTCCCACTGCATAACCAGCACTTTGACCTTGGGCTCTAGTCCTTGGCAACAAATCCCCTTCCCGCTCGCTCCTCTGGCGGTTCAGGGCACTCCTCACAGCTTCTGCCACTGGAGGGACAGTCCCCTCCCTACCGCAGGCACATCACGGATCTGTTCCTTAAAAGATTCTGCCCGAAGACTCTCGTTTATCCTGTTTTATCTGCTTCTGTGGACAGTGCAGTCGTGTCTGCTTGTCTGCAGCTGCTACTTGATTGAAAGACAAGGAGGCTATTTTTATTATTGAGTTGGCATTACAGTCTGCGGCCACTCGATGATGGCATTGGTGTTAACTGCTCGTGCGCAGAAGGGTGAAACGTAGCTGGCTCCATAGCTCAGGGGTTAGAGCACTGGTCTTGTAAACCAGGGGTCGCGAGTTCAAATCTCGCTGGGGCCTGGAGAGTACAGTTTTTATTACCATTGCTGCCAGAATACGAACAGGAAAATACTGAAATTGCGGGTAGGAGGCCAGGTCCTGTTTGTGTCATTTTTTCATCTTACATAGCGGCAGCCCAGATCTGAATGAATTGCTACGTCCTCTCTTGAAGTCAGACCCACTGCAAATTTCCCCATAAACTTTCTGCGTCCAGCTCTTTCTTCCCTGTTCCCCCTCTGCACGCTCTCGGTGAGGTCACCACCCACAACCTCCAGTCACTCCACTCAGCTAGGGTTTTTACACGCTTTGGTAGCTCGAATCCACTTCCCCGTTCTGGATGGAGTGTTGCGCCAACGCGCCCCTTCGCTTTTCGGCGCCGGCCTCCGAGTCTCCCCGCAGCACTGGGCACTAGGTCTGCGGCTCTGGTTGCTCGCCATGGCGAGGTGTTTCGGGACTGCAGGTCCCTATCTCCTCCGCGTGTAATTACAGAAAGGAAAATGCAAATAAAACGCTCACTTTCCTAACATACGTCCTTTCCTAACTTTTGTCATCTTCACACAGTCTTTTAAGAAAAACAAAACAAAACAAACAAACAACAACAAAAAACCCACCCCCCCCCAAAAAAAAACCAACCCAACACTAATTATGCTCATTGGCTCGTAAAATGTACAGAATGGGTATAAATCCTCAGTGAACTCAGAGTGCTTGCCAAGCAAGAGCCAGAGCCAAGCTGCTGTAAGAATTTCCCTAGGGAGACGTGAACAAACTTTAGATAGGGCACCAGGAAAGTACAAACAAACAAAAGATTCTGCTTATATCTAGCTCGGCGAACATGCTGGCTAGTCTTGTGTCAAATTGACACAAACTTGAGTTATCTGAAAGGAGCGAAACTTATTTGAGAAAATTCCTTCATCAGATCCGTTTGTAAGGTATTTTCCTAATTAGTTATTGGCTAGGGGATGACCAGCCCGTTGTGGGAGATGCTATCCCTGGGTTGGTGGTCCTGGGTTCTGTAAGAAAGCAGGCTGAGAAAGCCAGGGCAAGCAAGCACCCCTCTACGGCCTCTGCATCAGCTCCTACCACCAAGGTCCTGCCTTTCTGAGTTTCGTCTTCCTTCAACGATGTTGTGAAAGTGTAAGCCGAATAAACCCTTTCCTCCCCAAGTTGCTTTTTGGTTGTGTTTCGTCGCAGCAATCAGAAATCCTAAGACAGCGAACCTATGAGTTTATGGGAGTTACTTCCAGTACTCTGGGTGGAGGATTATTTGCGGGAATATAGGTGATTCAAAAACAGCTACATCTCTGAAGATGTAGCATGGACAGTAACTCACGAAGTCTGCACCCCAGGAGAGCCAAGCATTACTTCAGGCTGCCCCACCAGAGTCTTTCTTCTATTGATTACAGCCTTTATAGCCTCAGAGAGAGAGAGAGAGAGAGAGAGAGAGAGAGGGGGGGGGTTTGTGCTTCTTGGAGCTCTCTGAGCTTTCAGGGCCTGTCACTAATTTCCCGAGTCTTACTAATTTCGTTAGCTTCCTAATTTTACCTGCCTCTTTTCTCCCACCGTCAGGGGAATGTCTCCATTCGGAGGAAACAGCTAGACAACCCAGGAGCTCCAGGTATCTAGGGATAGCGTTGCTTTCTTGGCTCGTACCCATTCTCCGGCCGAAGGGAACCTCGGAAAGGTCCCGGATGGGTTGTAGCCGGTGGCTCAGGATTCGAAAACAGAATCCTCACCCAGCACACTAGAGCGGAGATGGAGGCTGGAGGTGAATGCGATGAGAGCAGAGAGGAGGGGTGAGTGGGAGTCAGTGTTCCAGGCCGTTTGATAACAGCCCTTGTTATCAACATAAAACTCAACCCGAGGCTCAGCTTTGAGTGAACGATTGTAAATTTAACGGCACTGACCCTCAATCTTTTAGTATGGAATGAATTACAGCAGGCAGGCAGAGTGGGTTAGGCGGAGGAGGGAACGCTTCCTAGCATGCCTGGTCTCGGTCAGTCTGTCTGTGCAGGAAGTGGTTCCGGGTCAATCCCAAGAGAACTTGGCCAGTGCTAAGAACCCCAAGAGTTCGTGAATCAACTGAAGCGGTCTGTGTCACCGCGAGAGGACCAGGCTGCTGAAAGCCATTTTTGCCTTAATGTTTTCCTATAGTTTCTTTAGCAAGTATTTTTTTTTTTTTTTTTTGCATTGCTTTTTATACCCCTTTACCAGGATCTTCAGCCTGAAGGGACTGTCAGGTTTAGACTTGCCTGTTCTCCACTCACCACCCAACCAGCTCTGCCATCCTCCCTCCAGGTTCTGCCTTCTCCATAGTTTTTCGTGCCTGGCTACAGCTGCGCCTCAGTTAAGCCGTTCAGCTCACTTGGGAGAGGGGCCCAAGCCTCTGCAGTCAAAGAATGCTCTGGCCTCCCATCTCCGGATCCAGGAGTTCTCAAACTGGCCAAGAGAA